CCCCAAAACCCCAAAACCCCAAAACCCCAAAACCCCAAAACCCCGCATAGTTTAACAAGAATTGTATTATAAATAATAAAAATGGAACCTAATTTCATGTCTGATGTGGACGTTTATAGAACAACTGGTAAAAGAAGAGGTTTATGGTGTAGAGCAAGAGAATTTGGTCGATAGAGTTGTGCTGGCAGAGATGTTGCTGAGAGAGCAAGGGTTTTTAAGCGGGACTACTTATTTGGTCAATTTGAGCAAGGAGAATAGGTATGGGATTGATCTGTTGAAGAGAGTTAAGAGGTATTATGGGAGGAATGTAAGGAATTTGGGTGGTGTAGGGTTTATTTGAAATTTTAGGAGAAATATGTTAAGGGAAGACTAGATATTAAGATTTTATGAACTGAGGATGGTATCAGAGATATCAACAAGGTAATATTTTACTTTGTTTTTGTTAATTTGAATGATAAAGAATAATATTTGTAGATTATTTCAAAATACATCCCAAATAAGATCACCACTCTCACAATTAGCAATAATAGCATTTTTGCAGAAATGAAGTTTGCATCATTACAAAGATCAGTTCTTCGAGTTATCCCAAAGATCAAATAAAATGCTCTCAATCGAATACTTTTTCATCGGTCAAACCTCTCTCAAAAAGATATTCACAATCGCATACCAAACCCCACTCATAAAATTCCCCTTCTGCCTCCTCTCAACCACAAACCTCTCCCTTCCAAAGCTCCCCTACCTCATAAAATCAATCGACTTCTCCTACTGCACAATAGTCCCCTCCCACAACCCCAACTCTCCCCAGCTAAGATTCGACTCTAAAATCCCCCCTCCCACCACAGAGTAAGCTCCAGTCCTCCCTCACCCTTCAGCCCCCTCACCCCCAGCCCCTGCTACCTAGACCAGCTCCTGGCCGACTTCCACTCGTGCGGGCTATCCAAGTCCTTAATGACCCTGGTGTTCCCTGACTTAAAGATGAGCACTGACCTGGTCGAAGAAGCTGCTTCAAGAGCAGGCTTGGAAGATGTAGAGATTAAAGGGAGAAATCAGAATGGATATTTTGAAGTCAAGGTTTAGTGCAAGTGAAGGATGAGGGATTTGTTGGTCGTAATGGTTTCAGTGTTTGGAGTAAGCGCTGGGGTTTTGGGGTTTTGGGGTTTTGGGGTTTTGGG